TGGTGGTGGTGATTCGATGGTCGCGTCCGACGATATCCGCTGTGTGCTCCACAGCAGGACTAAGCAGGCACGGTGACTAGCACACGAATTAATTTATAGCGTAAGTAAACTTGCGAACGTCTGCCGTACTCTCCCCTCCTACCTTCCGGCACCTGGACCAGACGTTAACACATAGTCAGCAAGAGGGAAAGGGGAGAGGTTGCAGATGGATGGCCCGACCGGTCCCACATATTGGCGCTCCGCTGGATAGACCCATCCTCTTGCCTGTGCAGAAGGACATCGAGAAAGGCAAGTTCGTTATCTGCCTCGGCCTCTGCAGTGAACTTTAGCGAGGGGTGCGCACTGCTGAACTTTTGGACAATCTCCTCGGTATTGATGGTACCACCCGCCAGGCAGAAGATATCGTCCGCGCACCGACAGTAGAAGACGAGGCCATTAATGGTCTCTTGCAAGCTTGTCTTCTCGACTTTGCCCATAAAAACATTTGCAAGGAACGGTCCAAGCGGTGATCCCATTGCCACACGATCTACCTGCCTGTATAGTTGACTATTGCACAGAAATTGGACATTTTGTATGCAAAGCGTCAGTAGTTCTTTAAGCGTTTTCACAGCTATCACGAGGCATTCCCCGCGGCGAATTTACGCGTATGCTTCGCAATCTTTCCCCTCCTACGGTTGGGGGGTAAAGACAGACTACCGTTGGAGGTCACATCAATGCGCATTTATTCATTCGCTTGCTCCTGTGGAGCAGGATACATCGGCCGCACAACGAGACGCCTGGTAAAGAGGGTGCATGAACATATGCCCGCCTGGCTAGACAGAGGAGAGGTCGATTTCGAGTTCTATTCTCGCACATTTAATTGATAAGATCACCGAGTCGATGCCAAGGAAGTATTTCAGGCTGTCTACCGGACACCAACATGCTTCTTAAAGGCCCACGCCAACGGATATTAGCAACGGCCGAGGCGGTAGCTATACGGTTAGCGAATCCGGTGTTGTGCTGTCAGAAAACCCTGACGCAAGCGCTCTCTGCCGTGGCCAACACCAACCCCAGGTGATGACGACATGCCGCCTCAAATCCCTAATTACGGTGATGGGTACTCCGTATACTCAATCCAAGAACATCACTCAAAGACTCTCTCACCCCCCTCCCCTAGCTCTGAGGACCAACACCCGCCGACCTTATCATGCGTGCGGCGTGGGGATGATGATTGTTAATGACTGAATAGTCCTTGAGACATCTATAAACACTGTTGATTTTGTGCATTTTCATTCCTTCATGCAATTGTATTGACCTCTCGAAGAATTACCGAAAACGCGTGTTTGCCAACTTGACTTTTCAAGTGTAACATGGGAATATTTGCGGAACTTAAATAACCAATTCCTGAACTGGATTTTAACCAACAACACAATGGGTCAGAAGGAGGAGGCGGAGGAGGAGGAGGAGGAGGAGGAGGAGGAGGAGGAGGAGGACGGCTAGCCAGACATGCAGACGACCTAAGTGCCCAGCGGGAGCGTAAGCCCATCTGCCGCCAGGGGACCATGTACTCGAGAACCGACAGTGCACACAAGACTGCGAGGTCCATCGTTTACTGAACATTGCGTAGCAGACGCTCAAAAACTTCGGGCACTGAATTGCAAATTGATGATTTACTACATGGTTAGAGACGATGGGGTAGATGGATTAGCGTGCTGTACGTGCTATGCATACATCCATGCAAAACGAAGTGGCTAGATTGCGCTACCCCTCCTTTCCTTCGAAAATCTCCAGTTTTTATTTATGACAGAAAAAAGCCCCAGACTGTATAAGCAGAACACCACTTGATGTTTTGTTAGGTTAATAGTAAACTCTCAACGCAATCTGTGTATTTGAGTCTTGGCACAATTCAAGGCATCAGCGCGCGGCGTTCTGTATATCGAAAATGTCACCGTTTCATGGAGTAACCGCCTAGGGAATTTGTTTACCAACCGAGCAGATCTACGCAACGGCGCATGACGTAGCGTGTGGACATAAGGTAAACGGGACAACCCATAGGCGTGTTTTTATGAAGGCAACAGGACCCTCTAACGTGTGATCGTGTCTCGCATAGCGGATATTTGGTAACCACAGGGAGACAGTGGTAGGTGGCACTGCGATAAGCGTAGAGGTCGACGCATGGCAAGAACGGGCTCAATGTGGCTGGCTGAGCGTCACTAAGTGGATTACATGGGCAGGATGGCGCGTAATAGTGGAAGCTGGCCACGCCTCGCATGGGTACACGGCGTTGCACGTGCTCGGAAACTGATAGACGCACTGGGTCACCGGTTGGCGCCTCTGCGCTACCTGCTGCACCGGTACTGACCACTGCTCACTTGACTGACAACGGACTTCTTCCTGTGATGGGTCAGTCGTGATCGGCGTCGGTTTTATTAAGTGGCATCTGCCGCTCTTAGACGACCTTGCCTGTGTCAAGAGAAATGAATAGGCGAGATCCAGGAAGCAGTTCAGAAGAAGAAGATGCGATCGCTGGCCCGGCCTTCCGGATTCTAACTCGAAGTTATCATCACAGACAGTCGCAGACCAGTGTAATTTCGATATGGAGTGTACAGACTACCTACAGATAGCGAAAAGCTCATTGGATAATTGTTAGTTCTATTTCCAAAGTGATGCCAAACTCGTAAGAGGTTAGCACGCGTAATCAGCATGACGTTGTTCGCAATGAAAAATTTAGGGCGGTCGAGACCTTTGAAAATTAGTAGGGCAAAATTAGTAGGGCAGTACGGAGATTCATCACGGACAGGCACAAATTCTCAAACTCCCGAAATTTTCTACCACGCATATTTTATTTCCGACAGAAGAATCTGTGAGCCGGTGTAAGACGTAAAATATGTTTTCACCGAGATCGTAACACACTGGAGAGGCGGTCTTGTATCGGTTGGAGTAGATGGTCTTTCGGCACCACAGATCTAGATTTTGGGATTGGTATATGAATTGTATTTTCCTAATCGTGAACTGGAAACTAGATGCTGGCATTGGAAGAACCCTTCAAACGCCTCCTCTCAGACATGGAATTCGCGATGGAGAAAGATGAAATCAACCAGCTTGTCCTCCTTAATGTCCCCGTCTGTCGCAAAAATTGTGTTGGCTAGAAAATTGATATTTACGACACAAACACTGGGGCTCGACGACAACCAACCAATCGGCCACAAACTCGTTTGCATAATTGCGCTATATCAACTTGCCGAGACACACACAGTGTTCCGAAAGACAAGATTGCTCAATCGCCGTAGCTTCGATTGGTGCTTAAGGCAAATGCTTAGCCGCGCAACTTTCTCGACAGATTCGTACGCAGACGGGACGAGTCCCACAGTTTGGCGAGCGTTCCCCTACGCGAGGAATGTCTTGGAAGCTCTCAGCCGCCTTCTCACGACACTTGGAGTTGCACACAGATCGGGAGCAACCATCAGGTGCAAATTAGTGAGGCCGAAAGTTCCAATACCACGACAGGAAACGTCTAGAGTCGCTTACCGAATCCGGTGCAGTTGCGGAGAACGCAAATACGCCGGTGAACCTAAAGAGAATACTATGGACACGGATGGCCGAAAATGCAGTAACGGTGGGGATGTTAACCTTTAGGTGACGGCTAATTTTAGGGACTCGGCAACGCCTGCAAGTTTTAAGTGAGTCATGATTTTCTGACCTTTAGTCAATCAGCAAGTGCAATGACCAACTAGTCCCATATTCTGTGCTGAAGCCTTCGCCTGGGCAGGACATCTAATCAGGCCCAACTGTTGCAACGATAGCAAGTCTGCTGGCCGCGTTATCGTCACGTCAAAAATCAATAGCGGTGGTGAAATCACTGCCTATAACGACTTTGGCGCGCTGAAAAGCAATCATCGCATCAGACGAACATCGGTGATGTTATTATCAGCCCTGTGGTTGCATGGAAACGGCAATCTGTAAATGCCGCGCTCTTTGTATTTCCATCTACGACTATCTGGGATGATGGATTCCAGTGAGAATCTGAAAATAAGGCCAAAAAACTCCTGACTCCAGCGATCACATATACACCTTCTCTGTCTGCATGTAACCATCAGAGTATCGTGTCCGTCGATGAATGTCCTCAATTTACTTACGCAAAATAAGTAGGGCGTTCATGGGAAAGGGGTTTATGGAGATATATATCGACCACTCCCAGCTAGACTAAGCGTTTCCAACTCTCTTGTAATTTTCAAGTAATCCCATATTGCTGCGTGCAAAACCTAGACAGCACGATTCGTCATATTTTGCGCCAATTTCGAACTTCGGGCGCCACGAATTGCAAATTACCGCGTCTGCGACGAAAGAGTGCATAGTTGCTATGTGATAGCACGAATAGCCACTCTGGAAACATCCTCATCTTCTTAGATGCATTATGAATTAGCCGGCGACCCAAGAAGCGATCTCACAAATCGTCTCCATGACTACTAGCAATACCGAGGAGGCTTTAATTTGTGTCAATCAACAGGAAAGTTAGTAATTTTAGCCATCCACGGCCAGCTCTCTGCTTTGCTTCTGAGAACAGCCGTAAGATCTGCCTGTTAGATCAAATTCGACGAGGTAGAGTATTTACTAAGGACGTATTGAGATCTAACAGAGGACAGTGCCGTAAGACACATAAGGGAGTCGTAAAAGCAACTTCCTCGGCATAAATGTAGGAGGTTAGAATTCGTCGTGGAAAGGGTACTCCGGATGGTCTTCCGACCTGAAATAAAAGAGTGTTAGAGACACCGATAGGAAGAGAAGGAAGACTCACGCTGGCATAGTGAAGAGACGATGGTTCGGGCTGTTGGCTTTCAGGGTGTTCATTTCCTCTATCGTCAAGGTGAAGTCGAAAACCTGAAATCGATCAAGGACGAAACTGCAAGTCGAAAGCACACAAAAACTAGGAATCGATGAATGTCTACACAGGAACTATGATGTGAGCGGAATCAGAGGATAAGTAACAGGGAACGCCAACCTAAGACAGTTGCAGATTATGCAATCCGGTAAACTTTGTCCCCTAGTCTTGAGGACAGCGAAGCTAACTTTCAAAAGGCAATTTGGCGAGCATACGTCTGCTTTCGATAAATTCTCTTCAGGCCTGTGCATTTATATGACTATCGAAGTAATGAATTAAAATATACGGGCAAGTAGAAAATTAAGCCGTAGCTCGGGGTTGGAGAGGGGAGGGAAGGGGAGAGTGAAACACCACAATTCCAGTCAGCGCCCGGGAGAGGGTGGGTCAGGGCGAAGGTAATTACATGCGGGTGGCTGACTTAGTGGCTTTGAGTCACGGCAACTGTGGGACCTGTATGAAGTACTTCTGTGCGCATAGGACCATTTCGCGTAGCCTGATTGCAGCCGCTTCTGCCGTAGCCAACAAGCGCTGTCCAAGTAGTTTTAGATAACTTGAGGGTGCCTTGTAAATCACTTTTAAGGCCTCTCTAACGTCTACACGGTGGTCTGAGTCTACCATGTGCGCGAGGATCAAGCTGTTGATGTTCTTTATGTGACC